CTCGGCCGCTCCTGGCGGCCGCGTCTCGGCCAGCTCGCCCCCGGGCCCTGGCTCCCGCGGAGCAGCCGCGTCTGCAGCAGCCGTCCCGGGGCGGCGCGAGCCCCGAGCCCSCCAGCGGGAGGATGGGATGAACCGAGCCCGAGGGCGCCGGCTGCCTCGTGGTGCTCGGCGCTGTAAACTCGTGCGGTGTCAGCAGCCTCGCTCCTGCCTGCCGCCGTGCTTTTATTTTCCTGCTTCCCGGTTCCAATATGCGTTGCTTCCCATTTTCTTCTTATTATTATTACCAATTGTAGCCTTCTGTTCTTTTTTTTTTTCCTTTTTTTTCTTTTTTTCTTTTTTTTTGGTCTTTCGATCTTAAGGGCACTGTGTGTCTTTTATACTTCTGCTCTTTCATCTGCTTTTTTAGTTTTTGGGGAGGCTTTTTGTCTGTTAAATGCGTCTTGGCCAAGAGTGGAAGGGCACACGCTGTCATCTTTGCTTTATGTTATAGCAAGTTTATCGTTGACAATTTGAGGTAAAAAAAGGTGCAGGCCCCCTCTCCAGAGGATAATTCATCATTTAGATTATGTACTGCCTGTCCTTAATGTTTTGATTTCATGATCAACCTGTGACTTTTTTTTTTTCTTTTAACATTGAAGACAGTGTTAACATTGAAGAAAATTGTGGGGATGTTGTCCAGAGAACTTGCATTGAATTCTTAGACTTAGAAGACCAATACTGTCTGTTTATGTAAAAACACAGCGTGGTTTGCTTCTGGCTATGTTCTTACATGGGACCTCTATTGGTTAAGACTTCCTAGTGCTACTTGCCATGTTCTTAATTCCAAAGCACTTCTGTGGTGGCTAAAGGAGCTAAAAATCATGATCTGAGGCTTGCATGATGCAGCATGATTGAATCCAGCGTTAGTGATGTCTTTGCACAGGGGAGCCCCGTCCTGATTTTGCAGCCCACCTCAGGTGCCTGTTGTTTTAATAAGCCTGGGTCACTTAGAATTGGAAGCAATCTCAGGTTGAAAGGCTGATTGCTTCTCATTAGATACCTAAAATGCTAAAGTATTAAGTGTTAATGACTTGGGATTAAAAAAACAATCAGACTAAACTTCTCTTACTTAGTGATTAATTGTGAGTTTTGTRGTTTACCTTTTCATACTCATTTTTAGAAACTTTTGGCATGATTTTCAGTGTTGTCTTGCAAAGGCCAAGTTTTTGCCAGATCTTATGWTTTGAAAGGAGCTTTACTCTTAGTCCTTGTATTCAGCTCCAGAGTTCTCAATAGCATTGCCTTGGTCTTTCTGTTTGCCCATAGAAACTTCGTTAGGTGTTTGGGGTCTCCCCTGTACGTGTGGACTGTCTCAGGTCTATTGAAGATGCTCAGTGCAATTTCAGGCTGTGTGTTGTCTAAATGGCGATCGCAGAGCACAACCAGGCTTATCACAAAGCGATTAAAGAAGGTCAGCAGTTTCCTATGTTCTCTTTGGCGTGTTCAGAACAGTTGCCATTTGGTTTCTTATAGAAATAGTCTGGTGTAGAGGAAAACTCCGGGGGTTGTTTTAAGAGATGCTGATAATTGCTTTGTAAATTGGAACTTCCTCTGGCAAAACTTAACTTTAAAGGAATAGGGTTTACTTGTAGAATAGAGTATAAGATGAGTTGCTTCGCTGTTGAAGACCATGTTTTGGAATGGTTGTGACTGTAGGTGACTGACACTTAGTTTCAGTGACCTTCTTGAGCTGAATGAATGTTCTATGAGTCCTGCTTCTAAGTTGGCTCTGCCTAATAACTGTGGAAACACATGGTTAAGTGGAGTGAATGTGTAAATACCAGCAAATGAAACTGAAACTCTGCAGTTGAAGGAAGGAAGAATCCTTTATCCTGAGCCACACGATACCTTGTGTAAATTATCCAAGTGGTTTAAAAGTTATGTTACGTTCTTTATTATTGCTGGGAGTAAGAAATGCAAAGTAACTTCCATGATATGGAATATGGTTGTGATGTTTCATTATAAGATTATTTACATTGCTTTCAACTTTGACAGATGGCCTACAAACAAAGTATAGAGTAATGTGAGATTCTGACATGTAGCATTAAAAGTCCTTCCCTAGAAAYCAGAGCCAGAGCACTCTGATGCAGAACAGCTCAGGTGGTGGTTCAGACCCATCACGTGGTAGAAGGGCCTGCCTGTAGGGTAGAAGTATCCAAGAGAGTCCAAGTTGTGCTGCTTATGTGTRGAGTGGGCATCACTCTGAAAATAGCTGAGTGCTGTTACTAGTCTGCYTCATATAGAGGCAGATTGCCTTGAAAGGGAGAGAGGGGTTTTTGTGGTTCTTGGTGTGCTTGGAGTGGCTTGTTTAATCTGATTGGAAATTATAATGGTATAGACTGTTCAAACATGCAGCARCTTTTATACTGGTGAATGTTACTTTCTGTGATACTTGATTTTGTGTGAGAAAAATAAAGTGTTTTTCTTTTCCCCTCTAACCAGATCRGCCAGGAGGCACCATGAGCGTCAAGGCTTTCAAGCTCGTCTGCGCTGTGGAGCGGGAGATGCTGATGGGAGACAAAGCTCACATCAACATCGAGTGCATTGAGTGCTGTGGGAAGAACCTCTACATTGGAACCAATGACTGCTTTATCTACCACTTTCTCTTGGACGAAAAGATATCAACAGCTGGAAAAACAACTTTCGCTGCTACCAAGCAGCTGCACAAATACCTGGGCTTCAAGAAGTCCGTGAGCGAGCTAAAAGCAGCGTCCGCCCTCACCAGGCTGCTCGTGCTCTGCGACAACACGATAACACTAGTGAACATGCTGAACTTGGAACCCGTGCCCACGGGCGCCAGGATCAAAGGAGCCGTGACCTTCACGCTGAACGAGAACCCCGTGAGCACCGACCCCTTCTGCGTCGAGGTCTGCATCATCTCCGTCAAGCGCCGCACCATCCAGATGTTTGTGGTGTTTGAAGACCGAGTGCAGATAGTGAAGGAAGTGTTCACCCCGGAGCAGCCCTACGCCGTGGCTGTAGATGGGCACTATTTGTGTCTCGCCCTTACCACGCAATATATCATATTGAATTATGACACTGGCAGCTCCCAGGATCTGTTCCCGTACTGCAGTGATGAGAGGCGGCCGATTGTGAAGAGGATAGGCAGGCAGGAGTTCCTGCTCGCCGGGCCTGGAGGGCTAGGTGAGATAACAGCGGGGATTGGGTTGGTTTTTTGTAACGTTTAATCTTCTGTTTCACTTCGATTTGGGAAGCAAAGCTTAAGTAACTATTAATTTGAGTGCAGAATAATGCTACTTTACCTTATAAAGCGGCGCTGGACTGTTGAGAGCAAAAGGTAAATTCTTGGTACTATGTGTTATAACCTCTTGCCTTTCATATCGRTGCACAAAATGATGCTTAAATACTAGTGTTTTAGTCAGAGCTCTGGAGTGTTTTGTCCAGACAGACAGCTGTGAGGAAAGGGGCTGTTTTCCTGCAGCCCGGAGTGAGTAAAACTTGCTTGGTACCCAGTGAAATATCAAAGGCTGATAGCCTGGCTGTAGTGACTCGCTGGAGTGGCTTTCAGGACCTCATGGTGCTATAAATTGTTTTGGGGCTAGTGTAGCTAATTTCTGACAAGTTCCTATTAGGAAGATTCATGTGAATTTCCTTTTGTGTAACGTAATAGGAAGGTTGCATTGCAACACTAATAAGAAATGATATTTGAAATAAACACTAACTCTTGTAGAATTAAACCCTGCCCTAACTTTAGGTGCTGTGAATTTGCAGGCATTCTTACACTATTCCGTGCTCATACTTTTAGAATACTTTTTTCAGGTCCATGTTACAGAAAATAATGGCTAAACTGTAGTGTACTGAGCATACTAAAGCTGCATAGTGTTAAGTCCAGTAAAAAGCAAAACTGTGATATTAGTTTGCCTTTTTTTTTTTTTTTGTGATTTGAACACAGGATGCACAACTTTTGACAGGGTAGAAAAAGAGATGCTGAACCAGGTTCTGTTCAACTGCATCATCTGCCCCCACCACCACCTCCCCTCCCTTTTTTTTTTTTCTTTTCAAAAGAGAAAGCTGAATTGTATTTGGTCAGAATTTTGCTTTTATCTTGTCTCTTGGAAGAAAGATGTGCGCTAGGAGCTCTACCTATAAAATTTAGCAAGCCTGTAAAAGTAGAAGTGTGCTGTGCTGAGGTTAACATACTTTGTGAGGTATTAAGCAAGCGTGCTTCCATAGCTCTAAATGTGCTGTAAATGTCTTTCTGTTTTCTCCAGTAATACAGACCAAGTCTAACTTAGGCAAACAACTTGGGCAACTTAAAAAATCTCGTTATGGATTGTCTTGATGTCCTTTGGTAATTCCCATTATCATCTCTTCTTCCCCATATCTTTGTTTTGGCTTAGTATTACATACTGTAATGTTCTTCCCCAGTAAAATGTTTAGTGTCTTTCGTGCTAGTTTCTTGGGAGTTGTAAAGATATTTGGGCACCTGTAAAATACCAGTGTTGCATGTGTTGACGTTCAAGGTGGTGCCACTCTGCAGTAAAGTGAGGGGACTTGAGAAAGTGTGGTGCAAATCATCAGTTCTAATTTTGGCTTGATTTTGGACACAACTTCTTGTTATGAAAGTATTTCATTGGTTAAGACTAGTTTACTTGGCACTTCATAGGTCATCTATTCCAAACTTAGCTCTGGTTGTTGTGGATATAGTCTGTGTCAATATACTTGGTTTTATAGTGTTTGATGTGACTTTTGTTTTTCCTACCAGATTAATTTTTGCTGGAGCTAAGACTGAAATTGAGAATGACAGAAAGCTGCTGTCATTGCTGGTGGCAATAACAGGGATATGACTGTTAAGATCATTAAATCCTCCTTGAGAAGCAAGGACTGCCAGGAGGAAAAGGGACCCACTTGACCAAGGGAAGCAAAGAGCCTCACTGCTTTGGTGAACCTAAGGAGGGGAGCTCTAAGCTGGAAGCAGCGTGGGAAGGAGGAGATGACCTGAAAACAAAGGATGTAGGGGTGGACCAGGTCTGTAAACAGAGTGCAGGTCAGCACAGAAAAGATTTTGTGATCAGCAAAACAGCCAAAGGGCCCTCTTCAAACAAGCCCACAGATGAGGGTGTGCCAGTAAGGAAACATGAGGGGAAAGCTCTTGCACTTTTTGTGGGAAATCAGCCTGACTGGTGCTTACCCAAAGTGCTGGCACGCTCGTGCTGCACATGGCGTGGTTTAAAAATGAGAAGAATTTGAGGTGTTAATGCCATGATCCCATTGGGTTCATGGAGATCAGTAGGGAGGGCTCATCTGACTGGAGTGCTGCAATGGATGGGAAACAGCCTCTTTAGGGAAGCTAGACTGGGAACAGGCAGATGGTGCTTTCCATGGGAGCAGTAGGAAYGCACGGAGCTCTCCGTGAGCCATCTGAGAGATTATGGGTCAAAAGACAGACCAATGTGGGTGATGTTGTTGCTGCCTACTACAGACCTAGGCCACCTTATCAGGGAACAGACAGATGAAGCCTTCTCCTGATAACAGGAAGAAGCCTCATGTTTGCAGACCCTGGTGCTTAGGTGGGATTTGCGGTGGCTTCGTGCCTCCCATGAGGGCCAGCACAGAGGAACACAAGCAATCCAAGATGTTTTGAGAGTGTGGTGGTGATGAGAGCAAGCTGAGAAGTGAGTTTCTGCAGAGGATACAATCTTATTTATAAGGAAAGAAGAAGTGGTTGGGGATGTGAAGGTCAGAGGAACCATGTCTGCAGCGACCATGAGAAGATGGAATTCAGGATCCCGAGAGAAAGGAACAARGCAAAGAGTAGGACTGCAAGCGTGGGCTTTAGGAGAGCAGGTTTTAACTTTTTCAGTTACCTGCTTGGARGAATCCCRTGKGATAYGGCTCTGAGTAAGAGGGGAGTCTAGRGARAGYGGTCTGACCTGTAACAACCATCCCCTTCAAGCTCAGAAGTGGCYTGTGGTGGTGGGCAGGACAGCGAGCAAAGGCAGCAGCAGGCCTGCGTGGAGGAGCTCAATGTGGAAAGGAAGCGGGTGAGAGGTAGGGACAGGCCACGTGGGAGCAATATATAGATGCTGCCAGCGTATGGGGATAGGCTTGGCTCTTCCTAAACCCATCTAGAGCTGAATCCGGTGATGGACGTGAAGGGTGACAGGAAGGGCTTCTGCAGGAGACAGGTGAGCTGCCTGGGCAGGGGTCCTTCTGCCCTCGCATAGCTGCAGCGAGCTGCAGCTCCCGCCTTGGTTTTAGGCAGCGGCTCCGTGTCTCCAGCGTGAGCTCCGGGCGGCGCGCGGCCGAGCCGAGYGCGGGCACTGCCCTCGCGCCGCCAGGAACGGGGATTCCGCCGTGCGAGGCCGCGGAGCGGCTGACTTGGTGTAAAGCAAAGTAGTCAGCGCTGACCACTCCTTTTTTCCYTCCTGTTTTTATGTACTGTAGCGTTTTTTCATGCTGGCAACTTACGTGCTATCCGAAAGTTTTTGTGTTGCTTTTTTTTATTAAATAAAGCCTAGTGTTCAGAACAAATAGAAGCCCCGAGTTACCTGAGCAAATGCTTGTTCTACCTTGGAGCGGGGTGTCTGGACCAGGTGACCTTCAGAAGATTCTTCCAGGCTAAATTGTTTTTGAGTCTATCCATTTTTAGATCTGTCTCACACTGAAAATGCCGTGGTTGTTTGGGGCAACTCATGCACCTTCCAGATCGCTTATTTGCCTTTTTCACTGTGTAATTGGTGATGACTTCATCCTGGTTCCCTCAAATACTTTCATGTGCTTTTAAAAAGGCCATGATTTCTGACTGTAGTTGCCATGTTTATTATCCTGAGACAAGAACTGGGTAAAGACAAGGGGAAATGCATCATCCTTTCACAGAGCCCCTGCCATTGAGKGCAGAGGGGTTTAGGCAGGCTTTGACTTGGAGTAGCACTGAGTTGTGCATGCACTTCCTATCCATAAATGAATTTTCTGAATTAATCTCAAATGAATTTCACTTGAATTGATGCTAAGAAAAGACTCATTATGGAAAAACAGAGAATATCACGTTCTAAATGGAAGTGATGCTCTGTAGCCCAGAAGCAAGTGAAACTTTCATTAAGTAGTCACTTGGCGGAGTGAATGGACAGGTAGAAAGATAACACAGATTAACTGAAGCTGCTTGACTGGAAGTGGTTTTATTGTTCACAGTGCTCAGTGTGGGCATTATTGGGATGTTAAGCCTGTACTTTACAGGCAGCCTCTGGATTTTGTTGCCAGTGCTTGAGAACACAGGTGCCTTGCGGGATGTGACCCTTCTGAAGGAAATAGACTCACATTCTGTGAAAATTTTGCTGTAGCAAAAGTCAAGAAGTAAATGCAAGTTCCATCTCCAGTGAGTATGAACTTTTTTCCTGTGAGGGTGACAGAGCCCTGGAACAGCCTGCCAAGGAGGAGACTCCCTGTTGTGGAGTCTTCTTCTCTGGAGGTCTCCAAACCCGCCTGGATGCCGCCCTGTGCTCTGGGTGTCCCTGCTGGAGCAGGGGGTTGGACTACATGATCTCTAGAGGTGCCTTCCAACCTCAACCATCCTGGGATTCTGTGAAGTGCTTGGTAATAGACTGGCACCTTCTTGAGGCCTTTGGCACTGCGAGAAACAAGTATGTCTAAAATGGCAGRTAGAGCTGCAGACAAGCACTGATCYTACTTGCTCTTATCTCACCAAMTACTGTGTGTTTTAAAGGGAGTTCAAGCTACATGGTATAATTCTTTTAAAAATACTGATGAACTTACTGAACTTCAATTCTTTTCCTGTATTTTTTCCCAATAATTTCTTTTCACTTTTCAGTCCCGTCCCTTTCTCTTGGTGAAGGATAAAGAAAAATCCCGATGTGAGCTCTCCAGCAGGTCTTTAAGGTGCAGGGATTTGTCAGGTGTGAAGCCCTGTCACTTTATCCCCCCAGTGCTGCACATGTTCTTTTGAGAGCTGCTATTTCTAGCTTTTACTTGCACTTATCGGCACTTGGAGAACCACAGTCTTGGATCAAGTCCCAAGCTCTCTTCTCCTTTGTTCCCAGGGATGTTTGCGACCGTGGATGGCATTTCCCAGCGAGCCCCCGTGCACTGGTCGGAGAACGTGATCGGAGCAGCGCTCTGTTTTCCTTACGTGGTCGCTCTGGATGAGGAGTTCATCACCGTGCACAGCATGCTGGACCAGCAGCAGAAGCAAACCCTGCCCTTCAAAGAAGGTCACATTCTGCAGGACTTTGAAGGTATTTAGATGGTATTTATTAATGCACTTATTTGCATTAATAACTGCAGCATATGCTCTGTATGACAGCTCACTGATAGAAATGTGGGCACTGTCTTGTTTGTTTTTTAAGTAAAATAGCCTATCAACCATGTAACACTTTCATTGTGAATGCTTTCAGAATTATGTTCCTGCAGACTATGGTAGATAAAACTTAATCTTCCAAAACTGATGTTTTAATTGACTTTAATTGACAATTTATTTGTCCAAGCTATGTCTGTGGGATTATAGCTTTTTCCTGTAATTAAATTATTTTCTGCCTGTGTTTTTTACTGCGTTGTTTCTTCTGTGGAGAACATAAACTGATAGCTCTTTTCCCTGTCCAGGCAGGGTAATTGTGGCTACTAATAAGGGTGTATATATTTTGGTGCCGCTCCCTTTGGAAAAACAGATTCAGGATCTTCTAGCCAGCCACCGAGTGGAAGAAGCCCTCGTCCTTGCAAAAGGAGCTCGAAGGAATATCCCAAAAGAGAAGTTTCAGGTCTGTTTTTTTTTAATCTTCATGGAAGAGTTTCACAGGAAGAGTTTCCCAGTGGGACCAGCTTGCCTGTCAGCAGTCAGCTGCCTGGAGGAAGGGTGGAGGGGAAGAGGGTGGTTTCTTTGGTCCATTACCTTTCAGCCTTAGGAAATGGATGTGCTCTAAGATTGATCTGTGCTTATAACAGGTGGTGATGTGTTGGCAGCAAAGATGTGCTTTGCTGCTTTGTACCTATCCCCTCACCTTTAGGATATAACCTGGAAAAAATTAATCCAAAACAAAGCTCAAAATAGGGCTAGGGAAGCCCCTACAGTGCTTAACAGCAGGTTCAGTTTTCAGCAGTAGGTTCTGTTGTTCACTCATCTTAAACAGCGGTATCAGTTTGTTTCTAGTCAGCTGTTTGTGTTGAACTTTTTCCTCATTAGAGATCAGTGCTGTCTTGCACTGAACTGTATTGCAACTTAGAGTAGAGCTGTGCCTTGGTGTGACTGAATATTTAAGATTATTTTTGTGGTGAGATACCTGAGCAGCTCAGATTAAAGCTCAGATTAAGCTAGAGGTTTATGTACCTTTCCTTCTGTCTCTGCTTCATAGGAACAAATACAGCAGGATGTTTCGTACTACCTGTCCTTTAGATTTTCAGACTTGAGAGAAGCAGTGTGAAATTTCTGTAACGCAAAGAAATACTGCTCAAGAACAAACTGATCTGTATGTGAACGAGTACTGGGTTTGTTTTCTTTCCATTTCCAAAAGCAAAAGGTGGTCTGTAACATGCAGAATTTGATCTGTAACTTGCAGAAATGTATCTATTTTTAAATGAGATGTTAGTCTTTTTGTCTGAATGGGTATCTCTACTTTTTCGAGTTCTTCCAGTTTACTTGGCTTAAGTGTGGGAAATACCATTTTGTTGCAAACTTAACTACAATTCAGTATCTGAAATAGACTGTAGGACATATTTCCTCTGACTTTTTTTTAAGTATTTACTGTCTTTAGCATAAGTTACCTAATGTATCTTGGGTGTACTGAATGTCTTGCCTACACTTCTGAAATTACTGTTTGCTAGAGTATTGTAAGCTCTTGTGATTTTAAGTTAGTAGGTTTTTATTTTTTTCAGATAAGTGCTCTTAAGGGTGTTCAGTTGATTTAAGTSTATGTTACAGCTGAAAAACAAGAGATTTTATTTGCAAACAGAACAGCCAGTTGCAGTTTGAGCAGTATTTATAGACTAATATGACCCATCTTAAAACGGGGTCTTCCTCTGAGTCATGTTAGAGGACTGAGCTTGGCTTAGCTCCTGAGAAGGGAGTCCAGCTTGCGGGGCAGATCAGCAGCTGCAAATGGGATGGGTTGACCCAACCCACGGGGGTCTGCGGCGCCTGACGCCGTCGTCCTTGCGGGTGCTGGAAGCACCTCGGGCTCCAGCTGTGGGCCCACGTGGTAGGGGTGTGATGGAGCACAGCAGAATTACATGCTTTACATGCATCCTTGGTAACATTTCCATAGCGTAACATATAGTAGTGTGTTAGATACCTCTCCTGATAGGACCTCCTAGTAGGACAGGTATCTATTGCACAAGCGTAGTTGAGCTCCTTGGTTGATTCCCGAGTAGTTTATGCTCTTTTGGGGGCCGTTTTTTACTCGCAGGGGTAGGAAGGCAGTGGTATTGAGTTAAACTAGTTGATGCAGCAGAAGAGTGGTGGTATTTGAGTAGTGCCTGTACACAGGATAGCACCCCCTCCCCCTTTTTTTCCCCCCACATGCTCCTTTAATCTCCCCAGTTTGATAAGGCTTTTGTCAGTGTGCCTTGAACTCTATCATGGTAGTGTCGCACAGACTTGTTGAAGTTAGGGCTTTTGGCTGCAGTTCAGCACCACTTTGTTATTGCATGGATTCATGTTGCCTCTCTCCCTCCTTCTACATATGTAACAGGCATATTTTAGGTGTAATTCAGATGATAATTCAGGATGACAGTGGGATCGAAACAGTTTCATGTGCTGTAATGTCTGAATTACGTGTGCAATCAGTGCTTCAGTTATTGTGAAGAACTAGGTCATAGATGAGTAGCCCTGTTATTTAGCCCTATGGGCCACAAATTTCTCTCCGCCTCATTAGATGAGAATTCTTCTGTCTTTGGGAATCGGGAGATATTGCAAGGCAGAAAACTGCTAAGCCAAAGCGATGCGAGGTCGTTGCCTCTGGCAGAGGAGTGGCAGAGGCCGTGCTGCCAGGCTCCCATGAAAGGACTGAGCGCCGCGTATTCATTATTTTTTCAGCTGAAGTTTGCCAAAGTTTGTAAAAATCATGGTGGTTGGTAGTAAAGACCTTGGTTAGATTGACACACATCTTGCATAAGCATCTCTCTTTTGCCTCTCATTTTCTCTAGTCCCCAAAAAACCACTCTATATTAACTAAACCCAAACCAGTCCAGAGATAAAGTAACTTTCTGACTAAGTCTTTCTAATTTTGCCCATGCTGGTAAGGATTTCTCCAGCAATAGACAGAAAGCTTTGCTGTGGCTATTGCAGCTCTAGTAGTAACCTTTCTATTTACTACAGCTTTTTAAAATGCTGCTTTTCAGTTAACTCTTGTATGTGTTTGCAGCTAGATTTTAGTTCTCAGTATTTGTTTTCATTCGACCAGTAATATAGAATTCTCTTACAGCACTTTGAGTCCTAAAGCCTTTCTTCAAACAATGATAAGGGAATTAGTGTTGATTTTTAAASGCGTTAAAACCTAGTACCTTTAAAACAAACACCCAAATAGCAATATTACAGGTAACAGGTCTGGAGGAGCTCAAAAAGATGGCTTTTTTGTTTGCTTTTGCATCATTCCAAACAAAATTTAACTAGGTATGGTTCTTGAATGACACCAGTCTAGCTCATTCTTTAAAACCTCTGGGAAGGAAACTGCAGAATTTTCCCTTTTGCCTGCAAAACCYGTATGTTCAGCAGTATCAGTGTCTCATGTGCATCGTGGCTGAAAATCGAGGTAACTACTGCCTGTCCTATCAGGAGGTCATTCCAAAATTGAGGAAATATGTGTAGAAGCTGGARGGTGGGGAGGGGAGGCAGTTTTGCACAACTTGGAGACAAGTGCAGATAGGTCAGTATTGGAGATAAAAGTGAGTATCACCCAATCGGTTGGAATTGAAAACTGACCTTAGCCCTATTCTTGCATGAATTTCTTAACTTTTAATTGAAAAGATTGCTTCACAGATCCATCTGTTAAGGGAGAAACTTCAGATGGATTCAACTTAACACCAGTACTCTGATTCTCTAAATATGTACACTCTTTGTTGTAAAGCTTGAAACAGCCTTAAAATACTTTTGTTATCAATTTTTCTAGGCAGATGAGAAATTATTTAGTGATAATTGGAGAGCATGAGGCCACATTTTGAAGATTTCTGGTGCCACGAGGGGCAGACAGTTCCTTGTAAAACATGCCAATCTGCATCCTTAGTTGGATACAACTGCCCAGCGTAAAGAGGGAGTGAATTATTGTTTTGCTTTTCTGAAGGAAAACAAGAACAAATTCTCACCAGGTGACTCTCCTTTCTGTTTCCCCTTTTCTGCTCGACCCTTGGAGGCAGTAAGAAAAAATCAGCCACCTTGCCAATCAGCAGGTTTCTGTGTCTTACTGACATCAGATCCATAGGCCAAATGAGCTTAAGCTTAACTTTCCTCTTGGTAATTTATAAACTTTAATCAAGACCTAAGATCGCCAGTGGGAGTATCCGTGTACCCTACTTGAGCTCTCTTGTTTTTTAGTAATTCCTTTGTGAAATATATTGCCTAAACTTATTAATTGCTTAAATATATTGATTAATTTGTCCTGGGCATTCTTACTGGGATTGGARTCCTTTTGCTAACAACAGCACTTGTAGTCCTCTGTTAGATGTTAAACTGCAAATTAAGAAAGTTGGAGGGGGAGCCTGAAGGTGTGTGGATATAGCTCGCTGTGCTTGGAAAATGCAGGGCCAAGGAGTCAGCAGCAGTGACACTTTCCAGATGACAGTTTACATTACTTTTAATAATTCTCTTTTGCCATTGGAATTATTTTGGGCACAAGGACTTCATTGCATCTGGTGGCTACCAACTCAGTGTTCTCTTAAACACCCAGCTTTTATAGGTGATTTTTTTTCCCCTCTGTACTAAGTTCTTTTAGCCTGACCGTGAGCTTAGCAGCAGAACTTCGGTACACGTTGTTTTTCTTATAGTTTGCTTGTGCTTTTCTCTACTTTGCGTAAGGTACTGCTGATTGGGTAAACTTAACTTTAGAAGTATTTAGGTTTTTAAAAATTACTAGCAGAAAGTCAGAAGGACGATCATCCACAGGGCAGGGAGGCTGTGAGAATCAGCAGAAAACTGAGGTGAGGGGGGGAAGGCAGCTGCCTTTGTGTGGTCATATATATTATATACACACACACACACACACATGTGTATTTGCCTGCTCAGTTACGGGGTTCTCTAAAGCTGGCCACTTGCCTTTACACTTGCAAGTACCATGAGCAGAAACTCAAAAGTCAGGTTCATATCAGCTAATAAGCCAGCATTTGAATAAGAAAACATCAACTTGCCCTTTGGGACTTGCCTTTTAGCAAGTGCTCCTGAGCAGTGCTGCGTGCACAGACTTCTGTGGAAGAAAAAGTAGCGTGGGCAGCACTAGRTGGGCCTGGCTGAAGGTTCTTGACTCAGTGTTTAGTTTTCTRTTGTTCTTGTGGGGTTTTTTTGTTGTGGTTTTTTGTCCTCGGGTAGTTGTTGCAGTAATGACGAGTACCATGTGGCTAATAAACTTTTTTCCCCTTCTCTCCCATAGGTAATGTACAAACGAATCCTACAGCAAGCGGGTTTTATTCAGTTTGCACAGCTTCAGTTCCTTGAAGCAAAAGAGCTCTTCAGGTAATTCTGTGATGACAAATTTACTAATAGCCTTTAAATAAGGAGCTAGGGTGCTTGGGTTTAGAGATGTTTAATGGCTGGAATGYTTTTTGATGGGGATGTGAAATCTGTGACCAAATGTTTTTGTTGGAAGTGTGGCCATGAGGCAGTTTTATAATTGGAAACTTAATGYAAGTGCTTTTTCTGTATGCTAACATATTTTAGCATTAATACTATAGTCTGATAGTCTGATTTTTCTCTTTGTGGTGATATGTTGACGTGATACTTGTGAAGGTCCRGGTTTTATTATTCAGCCTGTGCTGTGATGTATATCATGAAAAATGCCTAGTTTCTTTTAAGTGTGTGCTTCCTAAGAAAAAGGGATCATTTAAATACTGTTCATGCAACTAGCTTTTATGAGAATGTGGATACTGAATTTGTCTTAACRTTTATTCAGCTAGGCCTTTTTCAGGAGATAGATGACTTCATTCAAATTGATCCCGCTGTTGCGCTTTGACTCCATAAAAGGGGTCAAATGCAGCTTGTTGTATTTGTTTTGCCTAACAATTTCACTTCTGCTAGCAGTGCATCGCTCTGACTTGGGGYGGTTCAGAGCTAGGGGTAACCCATTTGAAAATAAAAAGTCTTTATCTGCTTGAATTCATCTTGCATCAATTCAGAATCTATTAAAGAAGGATTGTTAAGGTTGGCTGCTTTTGTCTGTAGTGTGCTCTGAAGGCCTCTGGTATAGGAAAAGTCCCCTTGGATTAATGGAGGGAATGTGAAGGAAGGTGAAGCTGTGGGAGATGGTACTACTGGATGGGGAACTTTCCATTTTCACTTGAGGCACATGAGGATAATGCGAAACACAGGTCTTTAATGGGCAGTGCCCAGTGCRTAGAGAGTAGCAAATGATAGGATTGTCCTGAATAGCATTTAGCAGCAGCTTCTGTTCACAATCTTTTTCTTTATTGTCCCTTTTCTTTGGCTTTAGTGAGAAACCTGCAGTCTTCCTCCCTCCTTGTCCTTCTCGGTGACACTGCACTCAATCATTGCTGTTATGTAGCTGAAATAAAAGTACCAGCTTCATACTACAGAATCTCTTGCTGTACAAATTCCTGAAAAGCCYTTGCGTCTGGTCCTGTCGCTGGTAGTTGGTAGATTTTCTTTAAAAAGCAGTGAGAAGGGGGAAGGTGTCAGGAGCCCTCTCCTCTGTGGGAAGAGAGGCGGTGAGCGAGTTGGATCGGTCATAATTTGTAGCTCCCATCTAACTAGCAGCCCATCAGGAGTCAGTTTTAAGGAGCAGGATTTTATGCCTGTATAGCATAAAATGTTTCATGAGAAAACGCAGTCCAACCATGAATCTTGAGCTGAAATGTCATCCCAGGGTATCTTCTTCCCCCAAAAGCTTCAACTGTAGAATGGGGAAGTTGTTTGTGATCTGATSAACCCCTTGAGAGAGACAGTAAATAGCCCTTTTGTCGAGTCATTTGTAGGCTATTCGGACTGAAAAATTCCTTGTGGAATTCAGGGTCTCTAATTCTCTGCCATGGCTGTCACAGCTAGTTCAAGCAGTATCTGATGGTGCCCCAAAACACTCGCACACTTTTTTTCCTTCAAGCATCAATAAGTGTAAAACAAACAAGGCTAAGATATTGGTGGCCYTTGCAACCACTTGCATGTGTTGCTTTGCAGGTATTTGAAGCTAGAGTTAGTCAAAATAACTGCTGTCTCAAAGTGCCAAAGAAAAATGTGGTATCTGTTTGAATGAAAGGTGGAATTAAAAATGAAGCAAAGTGAAAGCAACACCTCAGCGGATTTGGTTTGCCTTGGAGCTCCTCTTGGCCAAATTATAATTGAGATTGTCTCATTCCTCAGAAATAATCTGTTATAGACCAACAGGTAAAAGTTTAGTGGACTAAAAGCTTTGCTTTCTTCCTTCACTACCTTGTCTTAGATAAAATAAAACTGCATCCTGAGAAGATTCTAATGCTTAATTTCATAGTTAAGTACAGAAACTGTTAAGAGAAATACTTTCCTGCTCTTATATATGACTACTGAAGAATGAGGAGAAGGAAGGAAGGAAGTGATAGCTGTGCTGGAACTCAGATAGTTTAACAAACAAAGGAGAAGTTATTTTCTTCAGCTGGAGCAGTTAAACTCAGTGAGCTGTCGCTGTGGGACTTGCTAGACTTGGCATAAACATCTGCTATTATTTACAAGTTTTGCTATTTTATATCTCATTTAGAGATTCCCATGGAGTTAGACCAAACAGAGATGTTTGGTGAGGCACTCCCTGCATTTGAGATGTTTTGYTGGAGTAGCTGGCACTATGAAAATAAGTCTCCGGTGTTCAGTTGTATCCCGTCTCTGGGTGGGTGCTGCTTACAGTCTGATGAGAAGGATACTGAAACTACCAATACTGTAAAAGTTAGAAAATGTCTTCACAAGGTTGAATAAGTTATATTAAATAGCAGTACTTTATCCATTTGTGTGGTTACTCTCTCTATTCCACCTTAGGCCATCTCCCGATACTTGGTGATGTAGCCAGTAAGGAAAACAATGATCAAATGATCATGCTTGGGTTTCTTCAGATTGAGTAGGCTGTTCTAGTTCAGTTTATTTTAAACAAGTGAAGAATCTTGTTGAAGAAAACTCATCTCTTTTTAAAATAGAGTTAACTTACTCTATTGTATCTTGTGTAATACACCTTATTTTCTGGTGATCCTCAAGCCTTCTAAGCTTTCATGGAGTAGCTGGATTAGCCAAAGCTGCAGTTAGATTGCCCTAATAAGTCAATGCTGAGAGCCCAAGTGCTGTTTGAGCCATGAGGTCATGTCACCAACAAGCTCGTGTTTCTTGGTTATTCAGCCTCTTAAAACTTCCCATCYCTCTGAGTTCAGTCATGAGGAGAATCTAAATTTCTGAAACTCTGAAGTCTGTAAAAAGTGATATTCAAAGGACACTTCAATTACAGGAATATGCACAGGAGACATGGACTGTTTTTCTTTGCTAGAGACTGACCTTTCTAGGGTAGTGTTTTTTCAGATGCTAGGAAAAAACTGTGTAGTTTAGGAAAACATACAGCTCAAAACTCCTTTCCATAGGAAAGGTTCCTGTTTCGAGATTTCCCTCTGTTGCTGTTGGCTGTCGTTCATTTTGCTGCTTCCATGCTATGCAGTCCACTGGCAGTCCCTAGGTTGTGCAGTAGGATCCTTGATGCTTTTAAATTTCTTGCTGTTGCTGCTGTTACCTGTATCCTTCTGCTTTAGTAGCCAAATAGTAGCCAAAGGATCTTTTTTTTTTTTTTTTTTTTTTACTATCTCAAACATTATTTTAAAAAATGGTAACACTTATTTACATTTGCAGGGTTCATTTTTGTTTTTAAACCACTCAAGTTTTGGAAATACTTCTGTCTTGTCAAGAAATCAATAATTCAAGGCTTTTCTCTCTGCTTCAGTTGCTTTAGAATTGTGGAGAAGGGATAAACCCATTTGTTGGGATCTTCCATACTTCCTTGCTTGCAGAAGATTTTCCTGCTTCACCTATTTCAGTAGTCTACAGACTTCTTACCTTCAAAATTTTCTGTGAGGGTTACGGAGGGAAAAGTTTTCCTGTGTGGATCATTGGTTAAAACTTTTTTTTTTTTTTGAAAAAAAACGTAACTGAGGTTTCCTTTTCAGAATTTTCTGTTCATTTTGAGCTTTCTCAGCAACGGTGTCTTCTGCCTTTTAGAAATGCCTCTCTCCAAAGGCGAAAAGGGAAAATCCTAGTGAAATGAAGCCTAAATCAGGATTTCTTGCTGTTCTTGGAAGGCAGGGCCAGGAAAAGTAGTCGCTGTGACTGAGGGCTCCAGCTCAAGGTGAGGGAAGTTGCACAGAGCAGTGCAGGGAGGACAAGATATTTCATTCAGGCAGGTTGAGAAATCTTCAAYAACTAATTCTGTGTAATTAAGTTGATATTCTAGTGACATCTGCTCAATGAAGAACAGAAGTTGGGGGAAAAGGTATGTTTAGGCCTGTACTCGGTTTCCCTTGGACAGGGAGAGTAAGTAGAGAACAAGCTTAGTAAACAGAAAATATAAAGAAGCAAGTACACTCATCCCATCAGTAGGACTGACTCCATACAGAGAGCACTAAATCCAAAAACTTATAAGGTTTACAGCATTTGAATGTGACTATTGTTAGGCTGAACTTGCCTGTATTCAAGCCAAGAGACTGGGATTGTGAAGTACACGTCAAAATGTTGCACACCAGCTTGCATACCCACCTTGAAGCTTTCAGGGCACGTGCTTTATTTTTCAGTCTCAAGCTGCGCTCTGCAAATACTTGAGCTTCTGCAACTTGGTCTGAGAGAGCTTTCTATAATATAAAAGTTAACTTTTCCTTAACTAAGATCCAGATGTTGTTCACATGTGAAGGGAAAAGCTGCTGTGCAGTATCTAACACCAGTGCCTACCTGATAGCTGTGTCTGTGCGGGGCTGCTGCTTGTTGGCGAGGTGGATGCAGAGTCACTGTCCACCACTTCAGAACCTCCTTAAGAAGTGAGCTGAAGGAGGAACTTGGTGCATTTTGGGACTGGGAGAAGTTTTAATCATTGCAAATATTATGAAAGCTTCAGCTTTCTGTAGAAAGCATCTGTTTTCTGCAGAATTACTTGCACAATCTTTGTGGTATGCCTGGAAGAGTTCACTATGCCTATTTTTTCTTTTCCTTGCCTTAACGAGAGTACTAGCTACCCTCGTGTGCAGAAGTCCAGGGAGCAGTCCTAAGAACTGCACTAAGTCCATTCAGCTTTGGGATGTTGTGCTGTCTGCTGCTTTGGTTGCTGACAGACTGGTAACTTGAAAGCAAAAGGCTCATCCTGTTTCTTAATTCTCAGAGCTCTCTACCTAGAGGAGGAAAAAGGATGAATGAGTTGGGATGGGACAAACCTGGATTTTTTTTTCTTTGCCGTTTCACACACAGAATCCCAGAATGGTTGAGGTTGGCAGGGGCCTCTTAGGGATGACCTAGTCCAACCCCCTGCTCCAGCAGGGACATGCAGAGCACGGGGCACAGGGCAGCATCCAGGTGGGTTTGGAGACCTCCAGAGAAGGAGACTCCACAGCCTCCCTGGGCAGCCTGTGCCAGGGCTCTGGCACCCTCACAGGGAAGAAGTTCCTCCTCATATGGAGATGGAACTGCCTGTGATTGAACTTGTACCCACTGCCCCTTGTCCTGTCAGTGCCCACCACCCAGAAGAGCTTTGCCCCTTCCTCCCTACATTCTCCCCTCAGATATATTTATACATCTGAAGACATTTTTCCCCCAGTACAGAAGGCAGGAACCTTCAGACTTGTTGCTGACTCTAGGCATGTGTGCATGCCTTCCCRGTGTGTGATTTTTTTGTGCCTATGTATACTTTCTCTTTCTTTTTTGCTTCATCTAGTTTGACACTGTAATTGCAGAAGCGGCCAGCTCGACGTCCGGGAGCTCATCTCTCTCTACCCCTTCCTGTTGCCTCCTTCCTCTTCATTTATACGGTCTCACCCCCCTCTGCACGAGTACGCTGACCTAAACCAGCTGACCCAAGGCGACCAGGAGAAGATGGCCAAGTGCAAACGGTTCCTCATGAGCTACCTGAACGAAGTGCGCAGCACCGACGTGGCCAACGGCTACAAGGAGGACATCGACACGGCCCTGCTCAAGCTGTACGCGGAGGCGAACCACGAGAGCCTCCTGGATCTGCTGGTCTCCGAGAACTTCTGCCTTCTCACAGACAGCGCCGCCTGGCTGGAAAAACACAAGAAGTGAGTGAGTTTTGCTGCGGGTTTGAGACGAGAGGGGAAAATGTTTGTCTTGCTCCTCAAGGGTCGATAGTATTTAAGTTTAAGTCCTAGTGGTTTCTTTGTGGGTGCAAAAGATTTGACTTTAATCTYCTATAAAATTATAAAAAATTAATACCAGTAAAAATAATACACGCACTTTGGGAAGAAGCAACTAACTAGTAGCTTTAAAATACTCATAGCAATCATTGAARTGAACTTTATTTTCTGGACTGTGAACTCCAGCGTGCCCATACTGATTTGCCACAAGGATAATGCTTAACGTGAGTGCGAATGGCTGCAATTTGGAACTGCCAAGAGGTGAAGAACTGGCTGCCAGTCACTAAGCAGGGAATGCTAGACGACAAACCTGTTAAATATGAGCTCCAGTCATACCTAGTGTCCCAACAGCTCTGTCTAGGGCTTTGTTTGTCCATCTTCGAGCTGTGTGGTGCAGTGGTAGTGACTGCAGYGGTGAAGAGCAGTCCTAACTGTGGTTACATTTAAAGTAGTTTTGTATTCAGCAGCTTTGTAGAATCCTCCTGGCACATTTACTTTGTRTGGCAAACTTTGTAGTAAACGTGAACGATAGAACATCATTTCATGAGAATAACCAGTATAGAGCTTAAACATTATAGTACACTAAGAACTCTGTAATGACGTCCTAGAAGGCAATTCGTTGTCTGACTCTATTAAAAAAAAAAAAAAAAAAAAAACAAACCTATCTGAAGTGACCATTTTAAATCATTTTTATGATCTTTTCAGATAGCTGATTATCTGCTGAAGTGATGTTTGATTTTTGGGAGCCGTGCATCAAGTGTGTACTTAAGATGCAAAGGATAGAATGAGGGTCTTTTTTCTTTTAGCTTTTTTTTCTTTTTTTAATTTGACACATACTTCTAAATGCCTGAGTTTGAGAGAGTAGTTGTAGTCTCCCTGTAGAGAAAGGAGGGTCAGGTGGATCGCTTCTAGGACAGGACTTTTCTTTTTTGATCGTAAAAAATGAGGCTGCAGTTGCTTGTTCAGATGTAGACTGAAGAATTTATACATCACCTAAACAATCCCGTCATAACCAACTATTTACTGTATTACTAAATCTCTGCTATTTGAACTGTAATGAATTTCGTAGGAAAAAACTCTACAAACTTTAATGTTATTGKTTTTTTTTCCTTCTATACAGGTATTTTGCCCTTGGTCTCCTGTATCATTACAATGGTCAGGATGCTGCAGCACTTCAGGTTAGAACTAAGCTTTTAGTGTTGACTGGAAATTAACCCTAAATATCAGGTTATCTCTCTGAGATTTAAATCTCTGACGTGACAACTTTATCTACTTGAAAGGTGTAGGAAAGGAACTTGAATAAATTRATAGGAAATAATGAAGTACTTACTGCAGATAACAGCTTTTCAGATGCTTTTATGCTATTTTAAGGTAGAATTCTGCATCCCTCAATGTATGTTTCTCCTTTTAAAGATGTACACAAGCACTAARATAATCCAAAGATGGTTTAAGATGGGTTTGGAGGGGACATCAGGACATAGCCCGTGCTAATCCTGTAGTCATGTCTGAAAAGCTGGGTGTATAAAAATGAATTTTTTTTTTTCTGGTATATATTCTGATTATCTGAAAGGTATATACATACAAGTATGATACGTAGATACATAGATCATAATACTTGTATGTACATRAGATACAAGACACAAGATAAGCAAAACCTTTAATAGTTTTCATTACTGTGCAACTTGCAGAATAGGGTTATCRTAATGACTCTGTTAACTGCATTCAAGTCCCTTTGTAAGGAAGCAGAAACTTCCCGGGCAGGAACAAAAAGCAGTAAGAAAACAAAGGCAGTGGGATGGGCGAGCAGGGGAATTCACCTTTGCCACCTGTGTCTCCGGCTCAGGAATCTGTGTTTGTTGCTGACCCCATCTGTTAAGTGTAGCACCTTTCAGTTCCAATTACAATTCATATAAAAGTACATACATATTTACAGTGCTTTTACATTTTGCTCTTTAGTTTTGACTGACGAATTTTATGCCTAGTCTAAATTTGCATTACTTAGGTTTGTGCACTTGAAAAACAGAATTACAGCAGGCCCCACGTTGAAGGGATTTTATCAAAGCTCTCCCTGCGGTTGTCCTTCCTCTCCAAGTGCCCTGGCAGTTGTTTTCAGTGTGGGAACCCAGGGATGTGGGTTCTGAATGCCACGAATACGACAKATACAAGAAACACTTTAATACAGAAGTGGTGTCAATGACCAGTGAGATTCCTGGCAAGATGCTTTCCTGGAAGCTCTTTCTAATTCCACAAGTACTGATACTGTACTGATACTAAGTGTAGTGGTAGTGTGTGTAAATCCTGAGCTGGAAGACTTAATCCGTGTTTTGGTCATGATATCTGTGTAACTCAAATCTTTGTGCGTTTTGGTTGCAGTTATGGGTGAAAATAGTGAATGGGGACATTCAAGACGCCACGCGTTCGGATCTCTATGAGTACGTGGTGGACTTCCTCACGTTCTGCTCGGACCAGGAGCTGGTGTGGAAGTACTCCGAGTGGGTTTTGCAGAAAAATGAAGAGGTCTGTGGTGCTTCTTTCTTTTCAGAATATCACRAATATAAGATAATGCCTTTGAGACACTGTTTGGGTGTTGAGTGACATTTATATCATCTTGCTASCTAGCCAGCCCACTTTGAAGAAAATTGAATGACTATTAAATGATCACGGACTGAAGTAAACTGTCAGGTTTCTTCATTCTTTTTAAATCCSTCTATTAGCCATCTGTGCAGTTGGTAGTTGCCCCTTTTTCTGCTGAAAACACTTTATCTCTCTGAGCAATATGTTCATATTATACATACAGCATGTCTTAGTATCAATCCTAATTTTTTAGAGCTTAAAAAAGTGGAAAAGTGTTAACCTAATGGGTTACAGTGCTGCTGCCAAAATCGTTATAAAAGGGTTTTGGTAAAAGCAGTATCCCTGTAACTAGGCAGTGATGTAGCTGTCGTTCTGAAATGGCCTTTGTTCAGGAAAGTYTTTGTAACTACAAGAGTTAGTCTAATTCCACCAAAATTAAAAATAGAATTTTGTAATGTCCGTTAGTGTTTTGGGCCACGCCAAGTGTCAGTTGAGTGCTCTGTGTCAGGCAGTGTCTGCTCCTGGAACTTTCCACTGCCTGCTGTGTAGTAACTTAATGTAAAGCACAATGAATCATGACCTCTAGTGACCAAATTTATAAATCTTGTTTTTGGACACTAAAAAAAATCTCTTATGTGGTGACATGCACAGGGATAAGGTTGAGAAAGTTCTGGCTTACAAGTTAGGCTTCCTTCCTGCAAAGGACTCGAGTATCCTGCTCTGWTATTGAATAGATGTGCTGACTTTTGAAGGCTGATAGAAGTTTTGCCCAACCGCAGGTTTATAGACCGGGCAATTACATAGCTTACAAACTGAGGAAATGAAGATGGGGGTAGGTGAAATCACAGAAGCACTGAGTGGTGTAGTCCTAGATGTGAGAGTTTTGTGTTGTGTATCTTAATTTACTAACTACTACTGCTATTAAGGAGATGTTCGAAGTAAAAGCATTGCCACTGACTTCCAAATGCAATTAACTCTTTCTAGGTTGGAGTGCAGATTTTCACTAAAAGGCCTTTGGAGGAGCAGGAAAAGAACAACATGAATCCAGATGATATCATMAGTTGCCTTAACAAATACCCTAAGTCACTTGTTAAATATCTAGAACATTTAGTGTTGGAAAGAAAAATAGAGGTAAGTCCTCCAAGAATAAAAAGCGTAAGTTTCGGAGTGCAAATTTTGGTAGTTTGAAAAATGCCTGTGTCTGGACAAAACTAACRTAACTTGAATACTTTCAGATACACTGCTGGTAGGGAAGAAGTGATTTTTCAGACTAAGGTACAAGATCTGAAGCTGAGATTACATTCTGCTACTAACTTTTCAACTTGAAAATGATGATAAGGCAGGAAAGGATGGTTCCTTACCTCCTCCGAGTTCTTCTGTGCCACTATCACATGCTTTGGTTTAAACTGCAGTCTGATTTGAGACTTTTAGGTTAGAGTATCTGTGTGGTGCTTTGGTACTCAGTATGGTACTCACTTATGAACTGAAGTAGGGAGCTGATAAACACAAAACTTCATAAGCCACCTACAAAGTGCCTAGGGAAKGTGAAAAATAGGGATGTTTCGTCTATGACAGTTGGCTGCATATGGATAACTGGAAAACATGCAAGTGTTAGTGTGTAAGTGTTAACTGTTGTTTTGGAACCCCTGAGGCTCTCTTGCTGTTCCTTCTCACACTAGACAACAGAGCTAGTAATTTACAGTGCCAAAGAGAGGTCAGCCTCTGGTAAGGCCATAGAAAAATGGTTGAAAGATTGCTAATCATATTGCACTGTGGCAGCAACACTAGCCCTGCTAATTCCGTGTTTTGCAAGTAGATAGGAATTCTGTTCTGGRGAGATTTAGGGAAGAAGTGACAGAATTGAGACATGCACATCTTATGTTGTAGAATTCCCCAAGCCACTCGAAGTTGAATGACCAAAGAGTGTTCACTGTTCATAAGCACCACTGTGTCCCATCTTTGGATTTTATCAATATGTAAAGCATAATACAGAAGCAGCAACACATTTTGGAACTTGGAAACAAGATGCTTCAAGCACAGGAGATACGACTTCAAGCTGTGAATAAAGCAAAGAAATGAACRTTGAAAGAAGTGGGCACATCTGATGAGCAGTCTTTTAGCTTACATCCTTGAAATGTATAGGCTAGATCAGTTGTTTCCTTCTGTTGCTTTTTAAAGTATATTTATATAATAATGCAGTAAATATTTTCAGGTATCTGGTTTTCAAATATCTTCCTTTAAAATAAGAAGCATACAAGATCCAGAGGAGTTATTGGTGGGAAAAGAGATGTCTTTGTAAACTGAGCTAACGCTGCCCTTTTTCTCTATAGAAGGAGAAGTACCATACCCATCTAGCTGTCCTGTACCTGGAAGCAATACTGCACTTGAAATCAGTGGCGACAGATAATTGTACAGAAACCACCGAGCTGCTGCTTAAACTGCGCAGTCTTCTTCAGAAATCTGATCTCTATAGAATTCACTTTATTTTGGGTAAGATGTGTTTTCTTTATTATAAATGCTAGATATCAGTTCTAGGAGAAAGCAGAATAAGGATAGAAAAGTAAAGATTTGAGACTTCTGGGTGAATAGGGCATAGCATGCCAGTTTCAGATAGATGGAAGTTAAGAGAAAAGGCCTGTGTGTTATCAATGGCTTTGGTTTCATGCATTTAATGTTTGCCACTGCCACAAGCACAGAATGCTATAGCTGGCTAGAAGAAAGAGCATAGCAAAAAAAAAAAAAGGAAAAGTTGTTTCTTTTTGAGCTTGTAACTTGTGATAGTCTTTTGCAAGTGTAAGAGCTGCATTTTTGTTAGGTAGTCTGCCTCTGAGTGCAAGGTAGCCCGACATTAAGGAATTCATTCCCAAGAACTTGTGGATCTGTCTTGGTGGTTCTGCACAGCTGCCTCTCCCCACAACCCTGACAACTGAGATTTATGGTAGGGAAAAATCTGAGCCCTTATGTGTGAAAAGGGCACACAGCAATTAAACAGCTACAATGAGTCCTTTGCCAGTGGTTAGAATGGCAGTTGTTTAAACGTTCTTCCCAAGAATTGGTCACTGAAAGAAAAAATGACTGAATAATAACTGAAATAACAGTATTTACCATCCACTCACCTTTCCAGTCAGCAAAGCAGCTTAGAACAAATAATTTACAAATTTCGGCCATTGAAACTTTTGCTGTTTGAGTCTTGTTCTTTTTAACCCATTTTCTAAAGGTGGGAGTTACAAGCAGGATTGTTCTCCTAAAATCCTTGTGCTGTATCCTGTATCTACAGGATATCTTACATGAAAATTTTTATCTTATATGGTGATGGAATGAACACAYATGCTAGTGTATTCCTCTGAGAATACATGCTAGTGTATTTCCTCCTCCAAAATATTGGAGGGGGAAAATTGCCTTTGCTACTGTTTTTCATAACACTATACTCTTTTAATTCCTCTTTACCACTTTTAGTAAGTAAAAAAGTTTTTACTTTATCCTGAAATTCCTGATGAACCTGCTATCATTCCGTTAGCCAGTTGCAAGCGCTTCAGCTTCACAACTGCCAAAGAGGATCCAGGATTTCGCAATGTCCTTAAGATCATGTTGGTTTGCTACCTAATGACTTTTCTAGACTTCCAAAATGTTCTGCTATTTTTGAGGATAGCATAATAAAATATTATTTTATTTTAAAATACTGTGGGTTTGTCTTACAGCTTATCACAGGTGGGAGCAGTGGGGGTAGAGGTGGCAAGGCCCAAGCTGGAGCTTTGGAAGATGTCGGTGCCATGGGTTTTGTCACTGTTATTGTCGTGGTGGTTCAGTGTTGTGGGAGGGTGTTCCTGTAGTTTGTGGTTTGATGGTTAGGTGTATTTGGGCATCCTTCTACCATGGATATCTGTCAAAGCCTCCTCCGAGTTGATGGGAATTGGACTGTGGGAGGTCGGTGCTCGTGTCCCTCCCGGGCAGGGAGCGACGTTCCCCTCCGCTGAGCAGAGCGCTGTGCTCCTCTCCCACCAGAAAAAGTCCGGGGCACGGATCTCCACATGGAAAGCGCCATTCTGTACGGGAAGCTGGAGGAGCACGAGAAGGCCCTGCACATCCTGGTGCACGAGCTGAGGGACTTTGGSGCCGCGCGGGAGTACTGCGCGTGGAGCGCCGCCAGCAGAGGACCCCGCTACCGCCGCCGGCTCTTCCACATGCTCCTCGGCGCCTACCTGGGCGGCAGCGGCGGCGCCGCCTCGGACGGCGCCCTCGTGGCGGCCGCCGTGGACCTCCTGAACGGCCACGCGGCCGAGTTCGACGCCGCGCGGGTCCTGCAGCTGCTGCCCGAGAGCTGGTCCGTGCAGCTGCTCTCGCCCTTCCTGGCCGGCGCCGTGAGGCAGAGCGTCCACGCGAGGAGGATGAGCCGCGTCGCGCTGGGGCTGGCGCACGCCGAGAACCTCATCTACAAGCACGAGAAGGTAGGTCGCTCCCCGAGAAGGTAGGTCGCTCCCCGAGAAGGTGGGTAGAAGGAAGGTTGGTGGTGGGTTTTGTTTTATTGGGTTTTCCTTTTTTTAATGGAGGCATTTTGAAGTTTTGTGTCTTAACGGACCTAATCGTGATCCAGAAACGTTAGGACAAAGTTGTGCTGTGAGGTTCCAGGCAGTTTTAATACCTGTATGTATATATTGCTATGACTGCTCGATTGAAACTTTATTTTACGGTTTCCTGATAAAACAAAAGGGTTTCTTAAAATAGGAACCAATTTTGTGGACTTCTGCACTGAGTGAAAATAAATACGGGATTTCTAGTTTAATGAAGCTCTTGCATAAATTTTAACAAACCTGAACTAACATTTTGCTTGGATTGAGGCTTGTCAGAATTCTCAGTTAAAGTTACAGAACACCAGGCATAATTTCAACCTTACCAAGAGCTTTTGTAAGTGGTAAATTCATTTGTGAAGCTTTTTCCTTCTCCTACTCGGAGCTGTTGCTTACAGCTCTCCGTGGATTCTTGCATTTATTTAAGTCCAGCAACAGTTTAACCTGCAGAACGTGCTAATACTCAGTTTTGTAGGGTTGTTTAGGAAGTTGCATAGGTTGTATGGGTTGTGTGAACRTGTGCACTGCACACCCCCTCCAAAACCCAGTACTTGAGAGGAAACAAGGGAACTGGTATGAATGTGGAAATGGAATCCAAGTTAAATGGTTCAAATGGTCTTTTCCGATGACCTCAATCCCTGACAGAGTTTGTCCAGCTGATGGGAGTTGAAACAGTACACGTTTGTATATTAACTTGTTAATATACAAGTTAGCTTGTCTYGTACCTCCTAATTTCCCCACTTTTCTGGCTAGATTCATGTCTGGATGCTTTCTTCCTTTCAGGTTAAGCAGAGAGGACCCCCCATTCTTCTGTCGGATAAGGCGGCCTGCCAGGTGTGCCAGAAGCCCTTCTGCGAGCCCGTGTTTGTGAGGGACCCGCACGGGGCCGTGGTCCACACGCACTGCGCTGCCAGCAGGCACCTCAACTCAAACGTGGCTCCTTGCTCTTCCAGCTCCAGCAATCAGACTTGAAACGTGTTCCCCAGGGCCTGCAAGGTCCTGTGACTTTTTACCACGTTGGAAGTGGGCTGGGAGAGGAACAAAGTGCAGCTGCTCTAGGTATCAATCAAGGCAAAGAGGTAGCCCTTGGCTCGATGGGAAGACTTTAGCAAATATGAAACGTGGCCACTTACCCTCTTGTTTTCTAATGAATGTAGATAGAAGAGAAAATCACTACCAGAAACGGAGAGCTGCAAATATAGGCTCATCTGTACATAGTAATGAACAATTAAAGAAAACGAGCCATTTCTTCACAGTAAAGATGAATGTTAGAGGGACGCAGCAAGGGGCTCCTTCAGGAAGCATCCCTTTGCACTGGCTGCGGTGCTGATGGTTTGTGGAGGTGCAGATGGCCTGTGGCAGGTGGAGCTCCTGGGACGTTACGTGACAAGACCGGCACGATGCAACTCCTCCTGAAGACAAGAAGATTTATTGGTTTCAATGCTGGCTGCAGCGTGTCCTCCTTCGGGCYGGATTCTCTTCCCTGGGATCACGTTATGAACTTGTATTTTGCTCTACAAATTGTTGGCTTTTGCACTTTTCGGTATCTTTTGTTTCCTCCCCTCTCCTCTGCTGTATAGGGTTAAAACAAACTTAAGCACTGGTCTCTTAGGTTTCTACTCTTACAATTAATGTAATAAACTCGGTGGGAACTGATAGCCTCAGTCACAGGTGTGCTTGAAAAAGAAATGAAGTTGGATTGGCTGGTCAGACTATAGTCACTTTTATATGAGGGGAGAGACTTTAATATTGACTTATTTATTAATATGCAAATATACTGTACATACAATTGAATAAATTGATCTTATCATAGAATTTGCTTGGTGTATAAAGATACAGCTGGTATGTGTACAGGTTGTGACGAATGTTTGCTATAACATCACTTAGCCTCAACTAGAGGCTCAACAGGACTCAAGTCCTATTAGTCCTTGCAGMTGACTTTGTGCAATCACATTCCCAGAAGGAGAAGATGTAATGGGGAAGAGACCTGCCCAGGGGCACTCCAGTGTTACTGCATTTGTTGTATTTTACTAGGTATTCTGTGAATTAATACTCTTCAACAACTACAGAATAATTTTACTGCCCCAATAAGTGTTTGAGATCCTATTTAACCATTTTTAAAGCAATCAGTTTAAAATATGCACTTTCCTTCAAGAGCGGATTAGAAACAAAGATTTTTCTTTAATTAACCTGAGTATTTAAAAGTCAAAGTATTTCTCTTAAATCTGTAAAGCTCTAATAAACGTCAGCTTACWGAACAGCAGAGTGGAAGGAAGATGCCTCCTCCCTGCTGCTGTAGTGTTAACAAGTTGGATTTCTGGATTCCAGCCGAAGGGTGGACTGGATGCAAGTCCAGTGTGGGCTGGATGCAAACTCGGCCAGGTCGTCTGCTGCAGAGAGGAGCAGCCGTGTAAACCTAGCGCTGCGTCCAGTGAGAAGCAACCAGACTGTGTGAGGAAAAGAAAAACGGTCCATATCTCTGTCTGGAAAACAAGAGTTTGGATCTTTCCTACCTTCTGGAGTTTGATGTCAGAATAGTTGTGTAGGGTTAAAAATAAATAAATAAAAAGGTCGTAAGGCCTGATACCCCTTCCTGCTAAGGTGTTAGCCAGGCTTAGTGAAGAGAGCTCCAAAAATGGATGTTTGTGGCTGGTTTTGCCTTAGTGCTGACAGGAGTGATTCTCCAGTGTTGGTATCAACAACATCTGCCTGTGTTCAGGGCTTTGAAATGTTGCATCCAAACAGCAGCGACAAAGTAGAAAAATWGCAATTCCTCTATACGCAAAACACAGACTAATAGTGAGGAATTGCCTTTACAAAGCTATGAGTCTTTTGTGCATCACAGCATGCAGTTCATAGAGTTTTATCTTCTGCAACAAACGTCATCAGCGTAACCATGCACCTACCTGGTAAGGACATAATAAAGCAAACATTGTTATATAGCGGAGACAATGGTGAACTTGTTGACTAGCAGTGCAGCTGAACAGAGCTGCTCTTGTCCCAGACTGCAGAGTCAGTTCTTAAATTGTCACTACCTAAGAAGGTGGGACGTCAGTATTTCAAGTTCTCTAAATAAAAATCTCGACTCAAAAGCAGCAAATATTTATATCTCGAACAAGTATCAGAATAAAGTATCACCCTTGCATAACAGATGTCCAAAAGGATGATTTGAGTTTGGGGCTCTGAACTTAATGTTAAGGGATCCCCCCATTAATTTGCATTAAAACAAATCATATTTTTTACCTGTTTTAGTTAAGTTTTGTGCTAGAATTGAGTTGGCCCACAGTAATAAAACGATGAGCAAAGACCAGGCAAGGCAAGATCAAGCAGGAGGACRGGGCCCTTGCCAGGAAGGCTCTCCCTGAAGGGGCTGCTCCGGGGTTTCCAATGTGTGGAACAACCGGGATCAAACACTACGGAAAGCAATGACTTCCCACGGAGAAGCGTGTGGTGGCAGAAGCCTTACGGACATCACRTGCCCTTAGGTAGGGTAAGAGTGACACCCTTTGGGTAAGACTGGCTTCAGCAAGAGAAACAATTCATTCCAACCCCTCTGTTTTTCTTAAACTGTCAATTTGCTCATTTGTGTGTTGGGTGCCTGTAGTCCTGGCCAGGCTGCGGCTCRGGTGAGGTGTTCAGATGTGCCTGTGGCTGTAGGAACGTGACAGTGACGTGGTGTCAACGGCCTGGTTTCCTGCAGGATGGGAGGCAGCAAAGGAGGGATATTTCTCTGACCGTGTTCTGAGTCTGAAATGGACTCRCACGTCTGGAAAGCTCCATGTGCTCTTTTTTTCTCTAGTTAGGGCGTGTTGTCTCAGACGTGCCCCTGGGGAAAAGGTTCAGTCAGAATATTTCTTCTTAGTTTTTATTGTAATAACTTCATCTATCCCTCTGTCATTTACGCTTTCTAGTTCCATTCCCACTGAGCTTTTCCYGAGAGTGCCCCGGCTTTGTTGCCCAGAATTGCAGTGGAGCTTTGGGGTTTGTGTTCAATGTGGGGGTCTGACTGTGATTCAAGGTGTGCCACGTGAGGCTGGTCTCTCCCATATTGCRTCTGCACGTGTTGAGAGAGAATTTCTTAAAATGTATCTTCTAATTACAGAACCACTGCAGTTGAGGCCTTTGGCCCTCCCATGCTGTGGTAGCCAATGCATGCAGAAAGCACAGGCTGAACAGTTTTCTGCTCCCCCTTTCCCATCTCCAATCTGCCTGTCACAAAAATTACCTAGAAGGCAGTTACATCCTGCGGTTTTCTACCCCTGTCTAAGGGAAAAAGAGGAAAATGCAGCAGACACTGCAGATCAGGATGTGCCACAGTTCAAACAGCGCTGAGCAGCTCATGTGTGTGGGGAGAGCTTGTTGGACCTCTGATCTAGAGGCATCAGCAATGCTACCAGCACGACTATCGTTGAGTTAGGAGAAAACAGCAGGGGTTTTCCTGGTTAGAGAAAGCGCCTGCACGGCGCCTACCCCCAAACTGGCTCCTTCAGGCAGCACGTGCTGTGGTGGTTTAGGCTGGGCACAAACATCCTGGTCCTGCTGAACTTCCCCACCGCTCCCAACCTGCAGAAACGCTTCCGACTTGTGTTCCCTGAGTCAGCGTCCCTTCTTCATCACTTTGTTGGCATGAACCCTGAGTTCTGGATGAATTTCCTCAGGCCCATCCACCTCTGTTCACCAAGATGTCACTTCATTACCTGAGCAATGTGAAATCCCAGTGTCTTTGCTATGGAAGGGCAGTAGGCCTGGAATAGGGATATGTTTTCTGAGATCCCYATTACATACTTGAATACACAAGTGTTATTCTGACTCCACTTAATTCTTAAGACAAAATCTTTTCTTGGCAGGAGTATTATCCTGAGTTACCTTAAATATTATTTTACACAATTGTATTAAGAACTACTTTTTTATTGCTCATCCCCTTTTRCTTCAGTCTCTGTTCTGTGTAGATCGGCCTTTTTTACAGGGCTATTGCCTACCATAGGCAGTATGCTTTTTCATTGAGCTGTTCTCCAGTTGCCTATATTTGTTAAATAATATTTCTCTTCTGCTATAGAACACTTCAGGGCTTATGCCCTGTCAACACTGATGATTAAATGTGCTGCTGCTCTTAAAAAGAGGAAAAGAAGGTTAATGCATTCTGTAATGTGTGACTCGTTACGCAGCTGAAGCTCCCCTGCAGTAAATTAGTTCAAATGGGAATCCTTGCTGTTAATGCTCTCTGACTGAATGGTTATGTTGGTGAATATATACAGGAGTATGTGGAATGTATAAATATATAAATATGTTGATTTTTAATAAAAAAAATATTTTAATTACCTTTCTGTCACTCATTCCTAGATAAACCCTGGGATGTGACTGGCTATATGGAAGAGTAGGAGATGCTTTATGATAATTAAAGAGTTTGGCTGACTGACATCGTCAGGCTTGGCAGGTGAGAGGGCTAAATTAAACAGAGCAATAGTGGAGGTTGAATAATGTTTAAGAACATTTGTTTGCTTGACTTCTGGGAAGTTCTACTTTCCATTTATCTGTTTCTTGACTGAGTTTGGGGGTTTTACAGGCTCAGGTGGCAGCAGCTGCTGCCCTTCCAGATCCGGAACATCTTGCTCTGCCTCTGTGGCTGAAGGAATTTCCTTGTGGTTAAAGCCAGCAGCTGCCTTGGGGACGGGGCACGGGCCTCACCTCCTCTCCTCGTCGTCTCTTTGCCAGAGGACAGACACGAAGCAGGACACGGTGGGAGGGAAGGATCRTCTCTGTGTCACACAAGAGCTGGAAAAACTCAGGATAACAGACACACGGATTTAGGTACCACAACCTCTGCTGACTTAGAAATTAAAAAAACAGAAGGGGAATACGATTCGGCATAAAATTTCTTAGCAGGAAGCTGATGTCACTTTAATAATGTATTTCCATTCACGCTCCAGACATGAGGCCAGAAGCTGCTGGCAGAGCGGGGAAATCAATAAAGCCAAGGAAAAAGAAAAGGAAAGGCAGAGGAAATGTAAGATCATACAAGAATCCACATAGCACCCACTCGGATTTTAGGAGTACTTTTCCAGTTGGAAAGACAAAAGTTTATTRTGGGGAATGTTCCCTCCAGCGTCAAGTGAAATTTCTGTCCCGACGCTCTTTTTCCTGCTTGCCCTTCTGCCCTTGGTCCATCCAGGGTGCAAATCTGATGCTACTTTCTTTAAAAGCCCAGCAAAAAGTTTGAAAAGGAAAGACAGAAGGAGAAAATAATGTGTTGTTTTGTTTTCCATTTAGTTCTGTGAAGCTGAGGTACTTATTTCTTTCTCATTCTCTTTTTCTGTAGTAGTGTTATTGAATCCAGATCTAAATATTCTGATTAGAAATGTAAGTTTCAAAATAGAACTCACCTAAAGAGGTGTTTTCAACTAAAAAGAACAAAAAGCCCAAACTCTTGTTTTCTCAGAGAACTATTTAGAACCGACAGCACCTGGTTCTACTCTTTCTGGTGGCTTTTCATGTCTTTTCTCTGCAACATCTATTCCAAAAGAACAACCAAACCCATATGTGCAAGCACGAGTCTGTAATGTGCAAGATTTTCTGCTGGGAATAAAACAGCAGCCAGCCTGTTTGTTTGGTTGTTTTCTCTTTTCTTCATTCTCAGCCTCTTTGATACCAGCAGTGAATTGCCATCAGTTTTGAGTGAGGTACGACCTGGTTTAGCTGCTTTAGAAATATCATTTCTAGTGCTAAGCGAAGCACGAGCAGCTGCAGCATTTACTCTAGAAGCCCAGCTTCTCCATACACTCCAGTGTAATATCTGACCTCAACAGTTTTGCTAAAAGCTGCTCTGACTATACACATTTTTCTTCAGCTTTGCTGCTCTGTGCTGATCCCTGGAAAAGGCCAGGGCATGTATCTGACTCAAGGTATTCCCTAGCACAACTGCAATAGCAGTAGCACGGTGATAAAGCAGAGTTTTATCAAGTGAATTCATTAGAAAGCTGACTTTTTTACAACTTCAAATATATACAAAAAAGACAATAACAAGATGACTTAATGAGCACGAAGCAGACTTAATATCACCTAATTACTGCACCTGTATGAAAAGGCAGAGGAAAAAACATAATTAAACTCCAGAATTAGAAAGAGGAGGAATAACAGTCTGATAATAGGAACTTCTCCAATAAACATAAAGGTTAAAAGCAGAATCCCCAGAACTTCAAAATCAAAACATATTGTAAAAGCGAAGAGGTTAGAAGCAGAAAAATAATAATCAGGCAGCAAAAATGTAAACAATACATTAATTACACACATCTGCTGAAGCTACAGGAAAGAAACTACAGGGCAAAGTGAC